CCCTAAGCAGCATGCGTATCCAATACTAGAAAAAGAGTAAACGTGGGTACGGATTTCGATATGTGCCTCAGTATCGTTTTCCGTGAGGGTATCAATATTTGTCTGTTGCATTTTCCCATAGATTCATCCAATTACACCTTTACCTAAACTTCGATACGTAACTGAAATCCACATAATGTACACAAATCCAATATCACGCACATCCATCTACACGCCTCGAATCCGAAAATTCATTTTATTTCATCCAAGCATGCTTTTCGCTCCATGGAATCTAAATTTGCTAAGAAAGTTTTTCAGTAAAGTATTCTTTCTATATGTTTTACGCCTAGAGAAAACTTATTCTGATAGTTCACTCCAAAAATAATTTTAACTTTTCGCCACTTTTAGGGAATTTTAAAACCTGTTAAGATCTATCCGACAGAAATTATTCCTATGTATTCCTTAAGTTTGAATCCTTCTCTCAGTGAACTTTCCCTATCACTGACTAGTCATTCGTGGGTACCTCTCCAGGGCACTACTTACGACTAGCCGCTCTCCCATTAAAAATATACTTTTCCAACAGATGATTAAATTGTCAATGTTAAACAAGTCTTTCTACAATAAAATCGAATACACAATTTTGACTAGCTGAAAACAGATTCGGATTCTCCGACCCCGATTACCTTTGGCCAAACTGTATGAGTCACCTCCATAGATGCTGACACGTGACTGTGCACATGCTTGCCAACATACAAGCATACACACAAGCAAACTCATTTTATTTCATATGACCCTCCCTTCAGTCGAGGGAATAAGGCTTTCAGCAGATTATGAATTAGCGAGAACATCTTCCACGTAGATGTAATATATTTCAATGAGTATGTACCTCATATAAGTTCATGAAACAACCCTCATCGTCTTCTGTATATATAAAATCAATATTCAGATCGTATAGTGCTGGATTATCATACAAAATGTTCACGAATTTCCAATATAATACTCGGCACATTGAGTTTCTATCTTTTTGAAATTTAACTGAACCGTCTAGTCATGTGTATTAGTGAAGATATATATAAAGACAAAAAAGTTGGAAAGGAAGAAAGAATATTTTTCGTGTAAATATGCGTCCCATGCATTTTTTCTTTCCTATCCATTCATAAATTGCGTAGTCATTTGTAATTGTGCTTTTCTGTTCAAGAGAATGTTAAAGTGATCATTTTAATTCCACGATCTAATATTAAATTGTGCTTTGCTTTATTAGCTACACTAAGTAATTAAGTAAGCTATTATTTATTCATTAGAATTTATTAGTAACAAATTTGTTTTTCTGATTGTTGTGACGATATTTTTTGCTCAGGAAAAGAAACTTTGACACCATTATTTGAATTAAAAAGAAAATAAATAAAAACAAAACGTTTTACCATACTGATAATCTTTTGGAAGTAATACTTCTGAGAGCAGATATGTTTTTCCAACACAAGTTTGATCTAAGGAATCTTTTGTTTGTGATGCTCACCACAAAATACTTTTGCCAGAGGTTTATTTTTACAACTCGAAAAGTAAATGTGACACCTGTTTGAGTGTAAGAGAAACATCGTCATATGCTAAAACAGATTTGCGTAAAATAACTGTGAGTTAAACAATTACTTTGTTCGAGTTTTTCAAGTTGAAGAATTCTTATGGAAGACTGATTTGTAGAAAATGTCGAACGGAAGTTTCGACGAAAATAGAAGTAACACAAGAAAAACTTCATAATCATGCTTTTGATTGCCTGTTCAATCCGGAATCGGAATATTGTGAAAGTGATTCTATAGAAGATAACGATTTTGATTATCAACCGGCTCATGATATTTCCATTGACAAGGAAAAGTTAAAGAAACAAGTAACAACTTTGAACAGTTTTCTTTTTGTCTGTGGCAGTAAAAGAAAAGTGAATATGACAACTTTTTATAAGGATTTATCCCATCGTGTTAAATTGAGATATGTAAGCTTAGTAAAATTCATAATGGAATCAACTACATTGTCGATGGCATCGAGTGATGCTGACACGCTCATACATGACTCATTTAAGGACGTAAACAATGAATATTCAAATATTGTTTTAGACGTAAACTTTCGTCGAATAATGAATGGTATTTCAGAAACATACACTAATGCTGAATTGTGGCAATCGAGACGAGAGATTCTCTCAATCATTGCACCGAAGATATCTTTAAAGCTTATGCAATTGTATATATCAGGTATAACTAGCTACCGATTTTCTTCAGCACGTTTGCTTGCCTTAGAATACGGCGTCAATTCAACAGTTGAAACAAAAACAAAAGTTGGACTACAATTTGACAATCATCAAATTGCTCACTTTGTTGACTTTATTGTTTCGCCATATGTAGGTACCGATTTACCATTTGGTGAAAAAGTATTAAAGTTATCGTCCGGAGTTGAATTGTTCATCCCTAATACGATAAGAAATATGGGAGTCACTCGTATCATCGACCAATACTTTCATTATTCTCAAGAGTTGTGTTCAGATTTTGAAAAACTTGGTAAAAGTAGTTTATTTACTATTCTTGAGACTTGTAAAGCGTTAACAAGAAAGTCCTTACAGGGTATCAATTATTTTGCAGCCCAAGCTAGAGAAGCATTTGATGGCATAAAAAACGATCCAAGATAAAGTCACTCTGTATGATGATAGTGATCGACTTATCGAGAATTTGAAGCGTACTTGACTTTATTTGAAATCTGATTATAAAGTGCACGTAACAAGATCAAGGAATATTGCTGATCGTTGCTGTGTTTATGCATTGAGCGATCCAAAAGGGCGCAATTTTGCCCAAAACTGTGATCCTGAACACGATGAATCGGGCATTGAGTGCTCGAATTTACCGAGCACATTGAATGAAATTGAACGATTCATTAAGGAAACAGAAACAGACGAAGAAATGTTGGGTCGAGCTGTAAAAAAATCCCGATCATATCGGGAATCTATGGAAGCATGAAAAGCTCACTTAGTAAGATCTATTAATGAAGATTTATATCGAGAAAATTTACTCGATAAACTATCTAATGATGAGATTTATCTCGATCTTACTTGGGTCATGAAGTTTCTTTCTGTCAAAAGTCGGGAACCTCAGTCGGAATTTTCCGGTAAACGAGGCATCAGTTGGCATATCACTGTTGTGATGAAAAATGATGCAAGTGCTGAAAACCAAAACAACATTTTCGATGAAGACAGCGACGTCTTAGATGAAAGTAAGCAAATTAGTGACCAGGAAATGACTAATTTGTCTAAAGAAAACAGCGATGATGTTAATGTCGTTGATCAGAAAGAGAACTATTCTTTAAGAGAGAATCCACGAGTCCATCGAACATCATTCCAGTATTTGAGGCACTCGATAAAAATTCTTTTTTTGATTTCTTTTTGCTCATTCAACACATCAATGTCTAAAATCATCAACCCCACACTTTTAGGTTTTAATATCTTTCCTTTGAAAAGTTAGCCAATACCAACTTTTCCCACTATCATGCCTTTTCGGACAAAAACAAGAAAAAGTATTCTAAAAAAGATGTGCCATCTTGCATTTCAAGAGATCATTGAATTTTTTTATGGTATGTACCAGAAGATAGAAAATTAAAAACTGAACAAAAGAAGGAGTATTCATATAACACAATATCTAGCGGCTTCTGTTTTATATTGCGAACAATGATGAAAGAGTCCCTTTAAGCAGTTCGACTGCAGCATTGCACCTCCTGGTGTGCATCGAGATTATAAGATCCCAGAATGAATTTTAAGTATGTTGGGCAGCTTTTTTGTTCTACAAAATGGTTAAAAAAATATTAAAAAAAAAAACTTATGTATTGATCCTAAAAAAGGGCTTAGACCTTCTGAATTTTAATGGTTTTTGATGGTTTTTCAATGGAAAATTAACAATTTTAGTGGTTTTTATTGCCATCCCGCACTGCTCAAGAAAAATAAGTACAATATTCAGGATCAGCGTCAAAAACTACATCGAATCATATACGTTTTATCAAAAACTTTGTCCTACACCAAACTGACCTGTGGTTCCCCACAGCTATATTTAAAAGAAATTTTTCTACCTGGTCCCCCACAGAGCAGTTTGGTGTAGGACAAAGTTTTTGATAAAACGTATATGATTCGATGTAGTTTTTGACGCTGATCCTGAATATTGTACTTATTTTTCTTGAGCAGTGCGGGATGGCAATAAAAACCACTAAAATTGTTAATTTTCCATTGNTGATGTATGTATGATCGGACATGTATGTATCAGAAAATTGGAGAGGAAGAAAAAATATTTGTCGTATAACCATGTGTTCGACGTTCGTTTCTTTTCTCTTCTATCTATTCGTAAATTTCATAGTCATATATAACTATACTTTTCTGTTCAACAGAACGCGAACGTGATCAATTTTAAGTCGACGATCATAAATTAAACTTAAATTTGATTGTTTAACTACGTTAATCGATTAAGTAAGTTGTAATTTACTCATTAAAAATGATTAGTGGTGGATGTTTTTTTTCTAACCATTGTGATGAAATTTCTTGTTCAGGACAAGAAACTTGGACACAATTGTCTGAATTAAAAAATAAAACAATAAACAGAAAAACGTTTCCTCAGGCCGAAAATCTTTTGGAAGTAATACTTCTCAGAGGAGACATGTTTTTCCAACATAAGTTTGCTGTTGAGAATGTTTTTGTTTGTGATGCTCATCACAAAACACTTTTGCAACCATTTCCTTTTTACAAGTCAAAAAGTAAATGTGATACTTGTAAGAGCGTAGGAGAAACAGCATCGTGTGCAAAAACTGGCTTACGTAACATTACTATAAGCCAAGCTATAACTTTATTTGAATCTTTCAATTTGAAAAATTCTTACGGAAAACTGATTTGTAATAACTGTCAAATAGAAGTTTCCAAGAGAATAGAAATAACAAAATTAGATCATCATAATGACGCTTTTGAGTGTCTTTTCGATCCTAAGTCAGTATGTTGTAAAGAAGATTCTATGGAAGATAAAGATCTTGATTATCAACCACCTAATGATCCTTCGACTGATGAAGAAAAATTAAAAGAACAAATAACAGCTTTAAACAATTTTCTCTCAGCTTGTGTTAGTAAAAGAAAATTAAATGTAACAACGTCTTATAAAGATCTCTCACATCGTGTCAAATTGAGATATATAAGTCTAGTAAAATTCATAACGCGATCAACTACATCATTGATAGCATCGGATGATGCTGACATGCTCATACATGACGCATTTAGTGATGTAAATAGTGAAGATTCGAATATTGTTTTAGACGGAAATTTTCGTCAAATAATGAATGGTGTTTCGGAAGCATACATAAATGCCGAATCATGGCAATCGAGACGAGAGATTCTCTCCATCGTTGCACCAAAAATATCATTAAAGCTCATTCAATTATTTATACCAGGTTTAACTTATGGCAGATTTTCTGCAGCACGTTTGCATGCCAGAAAATATAGTGCCGGTTCGAGAGTTGAGGAAACAACAAAAGTTGTTCAACGGTTTGATGATCATCAAATTGCTCTCTTTGTTGATTTTATTGTTTCACCTCATGTGTGTACAGATTTGCCATTCGGCGAAAAAGTGTTGAAATTGTCGTCTGGAGTTGAATTGTTCGTTCCAAATACGATAAGAAACATGCGAGCGACTCGCATTATCGAACAGTATCTTCTTTATTGCAAAGAGATGTGTTCAGATTTTGAACCACTCGGTAAAAGTAGTTTATTTACTATTCTTGATACTTGTAAAGCATCAACAAGAAAGTCTTTACAAGGTATAAATTACTTTGCAGCTGAAGCTGGAGAAGCATTTGATGGTTTGCGAAAAATGCTTGAAGATAAAGTCACTCTTTGTGATGATAGTGAACGACTTATTGAGAATTTGGAATGTGCTCGATTGTATTTGAAATCAGATTATAAAGTGCATGTAGCAAGATCGAGCAATATTGCTGATCACTGTTGTATTTATGCATTGAGTGATCCAAAAAAGCGTGATTTTGCGTAAGATTGTGATCATGAACACGATGAGTCGTGCATTGAGCGTTCAAATTTAACAAGCACATTGAATGAAATTGAACGACTCATCGAAGAAACAGAAACAGACAAACAGTTGTTCGATCGAGCTTCGAAAAAATTCCAATCGTATCGTGAATCGATCGAAGCATGGAAAGCTCACTTATTGAGATCCATTAATCAGGATCTATGTCGAGAAAATTTACTCGATAAACTATCTGATGATGAGATTTATCTCAATCTGGATTGGGCTATGAAGTTTCTTCCTGTCAAAAGTCGGGAACCACAGTCCGAGTTTTTCGGTAAACGAGGCGTTAGTTCGCATATTACTGTTGTGATGAAAAATGATGCAAGTGTTAAAAACGAGGAAGATACATTCGATGAAGACAGCGATGTCCTAGATGACAGTCAGCAAATCAGCGAGCAAGAAATGATTGATTTGTCTGAAGAAAACGACGATGAGAATATCGTCATTGATAAAAAAAGAGAAACATTCTTTTAAGTATAAAGTTTTTGTACATGTTTTTGATCAGTGTACGCAGGACAGCGAGACAGCGAGACAGTCGTCGCTATCTTGAACGATGTTTTATGTCGTGTCAAAGAAACTGATCTACAAATAAAAAAAGCATTTATCCGATCGGATAATGCAGGTTGCTATCATTCGGCAAACACACTTGTGTCAGCCAAACAAATATCAGAAAAGACTGGTATAGCAATCAAACGAATTGACTTCTGTGACCCACAGGGTGGCAAAGGTCCTTGTGATCGTTATGCTGCCGTAATTAAGTCAAATGTTCGTAGATATCTGAATGAAAATCATAATGTGACAAATGCTTCTGAGTTTGTCGAAGCATGTCATTCATACAAAGGGGTCAAAGGTGTTTTTGCACTTGACTGCCGAAGTGAAAATAATGAATTAAAAAATAATAAGAAGTGTACAATGAAGCAGATAACGAACTAAAGGGTGGTCAGAAAGTTTCGACCCCTCTCTGTAAATTGATGTTATCTACATGAATACATATATAGATAGTTGATTGAAATATACAGTTTTGTAGAGAATGAGAAGAGCTATCATCTGAAAAAAAGATGATTNGCTAAAAAAGCTTTAATTGTGCAATAGTTTTATTTTTTTGCTGTGTTTTTTTGTTATAATTGATAATTGTATCTTTATTTTTTTCTGTTACTTTAATTATTAATTAGATATAACTTTGTGTTGTTAGGTAGTGTTACTTAATAAATTAGATATAAATAAATTTTAAAATTAGATGTATTATTTTCTTAATTAGATATAAATTCATCCAATATTAGATACAAATTTTTTTTGAAATTAGATATAGATTGCCATATTTTTAGATATTAGTTTATATTTGCCCCAAAAAAAAATTTCATGAAGGTGTTGCCGGTGTGAAACATTGGAAACCAAAAGAAGTAGTGTTCGAGATGGAGACTTTGAAAAAAAACGGCAAGTTTTACTTTTCGGCTAGCAAAATTTTAAATGAAAATCAGGTTCGATCATTTTTTTGGCCCACTGAAATGCGAAAGGGAAGTAATCGTAATCGCTACGGAACTGTCATCAATTAATAACGCAATCAAAGACAAACTTGTCAAAAATCCTAGTGAAGATAATGACGATGAAGAAATTGATGTACAGCTAGAAGCATTAGAGCAAGACTTTCAAGATATTGAGATTGCTCAGCAAGAGATCAAAATACTAGAAAGTTTTAGTATCAATGCTAAGATGGCACTTGAATCATCTCTTTTGAGGAACTCCTCAGCTGCAACTTCCTCTACGATTTTAAAGAAAAACAACCACAAAAAAACATAAAAGGGACACGAATATACCGATTAATGTCCACATCATCATAAATAAATGGGCACGAGTTTTTCGAATAATCCCCTCTGTCTATCCGTAAATTACATAGTTATATGTAACTGTGCTTTTCTGTTGAACAGAACGTGAACGCATAATCATTTTAAATTCGACGATCATAAATTAAACTTGCATTTGATTGTTTAACTATGTTAATCGATTAAGTAAACTGTAATTTATTCATTAATAATGGTTAGTAGCAAGTGTTTTTTTTCTGACTGCTGTGATGAAGTTTCTGGCTTAGAGCAAGAAACCGGGACACGATTATCAGAATTGAAAAATAAAACAATAAATAACAAAACATTTCTTCAGGCTGAAAATCTTTTTGGAGGTTATGCTTCTGCGAGGAGACATGTTTTTGCAACACAAGTTTGCTGTTGAGAACGTTTTCGTTTGTGATGCTCATCACAGAACATTTCTGCGACCGATTGCCTTTTACCAGTCAAAAAAGTATATGTAATGCGTGTAGGAACGTAAGAGACACAGCATCGTATGCTAAAACTGATTTACGAAACATTACTATAAGCCAACCTATAACTTTATTTGAATCTTTCAATTTGAGAAATTCTTATGGAAAACTGATTTGTCGAGAATATCGAAAAGAAGTTTTGAAGAAAACAGAAGCATCAAGGGCAACACTTCATAACGATGCCTTTGAGTGTCTTTTCGATCCTGAGTCAGTATGCTGTAAAGAAGACTCCATGGAAGATAAAGATCTTGATTATCAGCTATCTTTAGATTCCTCAATTGGTGAGGAAAACTTAAACGAACAGATAATGGCTTTGAACAGTTTTCTTTCTGCCTGTGGCAGTAATAGAAAAGTAAATGTGATAACTTCCTATAAGGATCTATCACATCGTGTCAAATTGCGATATGCAAGTTTAGTAAAACTCATAATGCGATCAGCTACATTGTTGATAGCATCGAATGATGTTGACATGCTTATACATGACTCATTTAAAGACGTAAACAGTGCAAATTCGAATATTGTTTTAGAGGGAAATTTTCGTCAAATAATGAGTGGTATTTCAGAAGGATATACTAATGCTGAATCGTGGCAATCGAGACGAGGGATTCTCTCAATCGTTGCACCGAAAATATCGTTAAATCTCATGCAGCTGTTCATATCAGGTTTAACTGGTTACAGATTTTCTGCAGCGCGTTTTCACGCTGCAAAATATGGCGTCAATTCAAAAGTAGACATAATACCAAAGGTTGTACAACGGTTTGATGATTATCAAATCGCTTACTTTGTTGATTTTATTGTTTCACCTCACGTGTGTACAGATTTACCTTTTGGTGAAAAAGTCTTAAAGTTATCATCTGAAATTGAATTATTCATTCCAAATACGATAAGAAATATGGGAACAACTCGTATTATCGATCAGTATCTTCTTTATTGCAAAGAGATGTGTTCAGATTTTGAACCACTTGGTAAGAGTAGTTTATTTACTTTTATTGATACTTGTAAAGCGTCAACAAGAAAGTCTTTACAGGATGTCAACTAGTTTGTAGCTGAAGGTGGCGAAGCATTTGACGGTATAAAAGAAATGATTGAAGAAAAAATCACTCTTTGTAGTAATAGTGAGCGACTCATTGAGAATTTAAAACGTGCTCGATGAATCATGCATTGAATGTTCGAATCTAACGAAAACGCTGAATGAAATAGAGTGATGCATCGAAGAAACAGAAACAGATAAAAAGTTATGCGATGGAGCTTTGGAAAAATTCTGATCATCTCGTGAATCTATTGAAGCATGAAAAGCGCATTTACTGCGATCCATCAATCAAGATTTGTGTCGAGAAAATTCACTCGATAAGCTATCTAATGATGAGATTTATCTAAATCTTGATTGGGCCATGAAGTTTCTTCCGGTCAAAAGTCTGGAACCACAGTCGGAATTTTTCGGTAAACGAGGCATCAGTTGGCATATTACTGTTGTAATGAAAAATGGTGCAAGTTTTGAAGACGAGAATAACACTGTTGATGAAGACAATAATGTCTTAGATGACAGTCAGCAAATCAGTGAGTGGGAAATGACTGATTTGTCTGGAGAAAACAACGATGACAATAATGTCATTGGCAAGAAAGAGAAACATTCTTTCAAGTATAAAGTTTTTGTACATGTTTTTGATCGATGTACACAGGATAGTGGGACAGTCATCGCTATCTTGAATGACGTTTTAGGCCATGTCAAAGAATCTAATCCACAGATAAAAAATGCATTTGTCCGATCAGATAACGCAGGTTGTTATCATTCGGCAACCACAGTTGTGCCAGCCAAGCAAATATAGAAAAAGACAGGGATATCAATCAGACGCATTGACTTTTGTGATCCACAGGATGGCAAGAGTCTCTGTGATCGTTATGCTGCCGTTATTAAATCAAATGTTCGTAGGTATTTGAATGAAAATCATAATGTGACAACTGCTTCTGAGTTTGTCGAAGCATGCCGCTCACACAAAGAGGTCAAAGGTGTCTTTGCACTTGACTGCCGAATTGAAAGTAATGAATTTTAAAAAAGTAAGAAGTGTACAATCAAGCAGATAACGAACTATTATAATTTGGAGTATCAAAGTAAAGGTATTTTAGTACACCGTTCATGGAACATCTGTTCCGGTCTTTTGATACCTTGGTCACAGTTGAATCGTGATCAACTCATCTGTAATATAATATCTAGTATAACAGAAGGATTTGTTCATGAGTGGGTAGAGATAAAAGAGAAAGATCATGTTGAAATTATGGATGTAGACGACTGTGACATGCAAGATGAAGAAACATCAGAAACATGTAATAAGCAAAAGACTATATATGAATGCGATGTTAAGCAGGGATGTACTGCAGAGTTTGTCAAATTTGGAAACTATATCAATCACATGCATATTGGTAAACATCGATGTATAGTTGAAAAACTTTCATTAAAAGATACAGCGATGAAAATGTATCAATCTAAATTGGAAGAAGTTGAAAATCGACGGATAATATTTATCGATATTAATTTAGCGGAAGTAATCGATGACGAAACGAGTCCTCTTCCGACAGGTTGGGCTTTGCCCATACGCAAACCAAACACAGACTTTTCAGATAAACAGCGTGGATATCTCAAAAAAAAGGCATGCATTTTATGGAATATCTAAAAATATAGCAATCTATATCTAAATTAATACAGTAGTATCTATTCCGACGAAAGAATGCTAAAAAAGAAATGTTTGATCTAATTTTTTAATGAAATATCTTTTAAATCAATTAAATTTCTGAATTGAAAAATGTTCTGTCGTTTAATTTAATATATTATCAGTTTTAACAAATGACTATCAATCAATTTATCGAATTATCTAATTAATTTGAACGTAATCTATAATTGATTAGTACTTATCAATTAATTGAAAGAGTATATATGAGCTACGAATGACGATAAGTGATAAGAAAAAAGTTATTTTAAAAAGTATGAAAAAATATATCGTTAAAAAATTGGCAGAAGCATTATCAGATGATGATATTGTACCAACTTACAGAGAAGAAGCAACGGATGACGATGGTGATGCTGGTGGTATTATTAACTCAGCTAAGAAGATGAGAGCATCCGGCTTACCATATGAAAAAGTGAAAATCTTCTCTGATGGCAAATGTGCTGAAGAGGAGGTTGTTAAATATAATAATTTCAAATGGACCTGGTGTAAAATTAATGATACAGAACAAGGAACGAAAAAATATTATAAATGCAGCTTCAAACGTGGTTCAAATTGTCCAGCAAAAATTTATTTATTATTTCATGCAAGCAACTTTGAAGTAACATTATTTCAAGCAATTATTCAGCATGATCATAGAACAGTAAGCAAACAAACTGGTATTCCATTTGAAGTAAAAAATGTTATTATTGAATTATTTCAAAATGGATACACTACACCAAAAGCTATTTTATCTGAACTTGATAAACGGAAAATAATACAACCAAAGGCATCGCAAATTTCAAGCTTTTTGGTAACTCTTCGCAGGAAATTTTATGGTCCAGCTCAAATTAGTTTAAATCATATAAAAAATTGGTGTATTGAAAAATCTATTATTCCAAATGATCCTGATCAATGTTTTGTTGCTAATTATTATATCAAAGATGGTGATGCCGATCCATTATTTAGATTATTTGTTACAACCAAAAATTTAATGAAAAATTGTTTAAATTCAAATCATGTATGTGCAGATGCAACTTATAAATTAATATGGCAGGGTTATCCTGTATTGATGGTGGGTACTACTGATAAACAGTGTGCTTTTCATCCATTTGGTATTGCATTATGTATAAATGAACAGACTACTGATTTTGAGTTCATATTTAAAAGTGTCCAATTAACTGTTATTTTTTTCTGTTACTTTAATTATTAATTAGATATAACTTTGTGTTGTTAGGTAGTGTTACTTAATAAATTAGATATAAATAAATTTTAAAATTAGATGTATTATTTTCTTAATTAGATATAAATTCATCCAATATTAGATATAAATTTTTTTTNTGAGAGATGAAAATAAATTATCCGTATGATATGATGTTTTTGTGTCAATTCTTCATCTACATCAAAATTGTTCGTATTTAATTTTTGAATATATCTACATTCATAAAGTTGTTGTCCTAAATCAGCCAAATATTTATCAGTATTGTAATTTCGTTGAAAAAGAAGATATCCTATAACTTGATTAATTGATAAATTTTTTGCTAATGCAAATTCATCCAGTTCAGAATTTTAATCAGATAAACGTCTTCGTTTCTGACAAGATGATACTTCACTAAAATCACGTTGTCTTTTTGTTGTAGTAGAAAGATCAACAGTAGATATTTGTGAAGAGAGATAAGAGAATGTTGTTGTTGATGATGTACAGATTGTTATAGCCGTTGATGATGGACTTCGTCTTTTGATACTTATTGGAGTATCAGAAAATGGAGATGAGTGAAAATCTTCTTGTGTCAAAACAACAATATCGGCAAATTGCTGTTCTTTTTGTTTTTTATTACATTTTCTCCATACATCATAAAATTTCGTTCTATTTCTAAGAATATAATGGTTAATCTTTTCTTCTATAATTGATTTGTTGCTGTGAGTATAACGAACATCAAAATATTCAAGTATTTTTGTAGTAAATAAATCATTGTTTTTATCAGATTCATGATCATAAAACTCATAGAAGGTATTCAGATTAAGATTATTCATGTTTCAAGTGAATTTCGATTCAAAAAGTAAGGTTTAATGAATTTGATTTTTTTTGATTGTACAGTCACGTTAAAATAAATGAGAACACAGTTTATCTATCGTTTACACTGTTACGATAAAATTTGATACATATTAACATACATGTGAATCACTAAGTTATTTAGTTTCTCGGTATAACAACGTAGCAGTAGTTAAAGAGATATACTCGTTATTGTTAGAAAAGCAGGATAGTGACGTTTGAATTGGAAGAATAAAGAGAAAATACGCTTTAGAAATATTATCGAATGATACTAGTATCTTGGGAAGAAATTAATTTTTCAATAGATTTTTTAAAAATAATAGTAATAAATGAAGCCTGACAAACCTAAGTTAGTAGAATGATTTGTGATTCCAATATAGTGCAGTAATAAAATTTTGGTAAAATATCTAATCAACTTCTTATTGAAATCGATTATTAAAAAGAAATCATCTATATTTATCGCGAATAGCAGCAATGAATGAATACAATACTCAGCAATATTTCAGCATAGAATCCCACGTTTTTTTTGAAAAAAATGCTTATTTTTATATATGATTCGATGCAATTGAATGAGCTGATTCTGAATATCACTTTGGTTTTGCGCCACAATGCTATCAAAATTGACAAAATAGGGCTTCAGGGGCAGAAGCCTTGTTTTCTTTTGGAAAACTTGCAGCACAGTTTGGGTTCATCGGCGCGAGGTGACGCTAAGCCCAACGATAGGTCACATATGGAAGAATAATCGGTAAAAATTTCAAATCAATCGAACTTAATCTCATTGTAGGGTTTGCAAAATACGGAATGACCAGTTTTCGGACCTAGCTTTAGCCCGGTAATCAATATTTTTCTTTTCCAATTTAAGTTCAGTCAAAAAGAATTTTTATCAGAATAGAGCCCATAGGGCAATCATTCGTTTCCAATAGTTTTTTGTTTTAAATACTTTCGTTAAGTGGGCCGCAAAATTAACTTTCTCTTTAGATGGCGATTTATGAGCAAATGCATAAGCATGAGCTTTCTCAGCGTTTTACTTACTTTCTGGAACTTTCATTTTAAGGCAAGATAGACTAATCATAGATGCATTTATTCTAATTTTTGATCTTTGGAAAGGAATACTTTCGTTGATGTCCGCCTGGTTGCCCACTATGCACCGTATACGCAGTGCGTATATGAAAATCGTCAACGACCGTATTGTTCTCCGTATATTGTCGTATTACTTCGTATACAACACGGAGATTTACAATTGTAATACTGAGTCATTTATTTGGTCGTATTTCTCCGTACACTATCGTTTACGATTGCCCTTGTTCGACCTGGTTTTTTTTAAATTTTTATATTTAAGAATTTCTTCTGTGATTTTGAAACTTATGAACTTCATTCTGTTTTGTTGTGAGTTTACTAATCATATCCTAAAATACATGTTAAAAGAGATAAATTTTCCTAATCATAATTCAAATCATGAGATTCTGAATGAGGTATCTATGAAATATGTTCTAGAAATTTTCAATTAATCTTTTGCTGTCGTGTGTTTCAAGCGGACTTAATCCACAGTTTTTCGTGTAGTACTACATTAAGGTTTCATTTTTCTGACTACACTGTAAAAATATCGTAGAATCATAAACCCTAGTACTTTAGGAAAATCTTCCAAAACCCTTAAAGGGTTTATGCTGGTGTGACAAACCCTTAAGGGGTTTCTGAGCCAAAGGGTTTATTAGGCCAAGGGTATTTGAAAATAAAAACGGTTTATGGCTGGTAAATAAGGGTTTATTGTTCTACCCTTTGATGAAAAGGGTTTATTGTTCTACCCTTTGATGAAAAGGGTTTATTGTTCTACCCTTTGATGAAAAGGGTTTTTTATTCTACGGTCAAGGGTTTATTATTATACCGTTCCATAAGAGGGGTTTTATTTTGTGTTAGAAACATGTTTAGTCTAGTTTGAGATGTCGATTATTCTTTGGTTATTTTCGGAGTAATTATTACTTGTTGTATGCAATGGCCAAACTTCTCTCTTAGATTACTTTCTCTTTTTAAATTCGCGGAATATATGGATATGACTACGTACATAGAGTCAATCATTATTTTATCTGAAATTATTTTAAACAAAACTCGTTATGCATCTATATCAGAATGATGTTGAATTTTAGGGTTGATAACACCATTTATTGAATAATGTTGCGATACACAATCTTACAGCAGAAAATCACATGAGTGAAAAAAGGAATAACTTTATATTGTTCTGCGTTGAAATAGAATTGAATTCTCACATCAGTAACTTTTATTTTCCATTTACATCAGCCTCTAGAACAAAACGACACTCAGTTTCATGTACACGAAACCACCATAATGAACGTAAGTATTATTTATAAAATCTTTAAGAGAGCACCCGTAAAGCCATCAAGAAATCGAAGCACTCGTCAAAATTTAATTTTTCGATTTGATATTCTCATCTTGTTCAGCATCATCTAAAACCTCTAAATCCAAATTTTTAGCGCATTTCATTGAGCTGGTGAAAAGTTAGCTCAATTTTACTGTCGAGCACTCACGATGATATTTGAAAAATATCATCAAAAATTGTTCATATAAAGTTGAGATTTTTTCGATAACATCAAGTTAATAAAATTTTTCGTGTAATATACCAAAAGATAGAGCATTGAAAGCTGAACAAAATTACCTATTTACAAATTATATTTCAATGTGCTGATCGAGAGTTATTTCTCAAATACTGTCTAAGATTGACAATTTTTTGAGTAAAAAATCTGTCAACTATCTTCAGTATATCATCTGCTATTCAGTCAATTCAAAAAATCCCATGCTGAATTTCACATATGTTGTACAGTTTTTTCTCCTCTACAAAATGACTAAAACAAAGTTTAAAAAAAAAGTTATGTATCGAGGCGAAAAATGGCTCACAATGTTGACCAACTGCACACCATTTTTAAGAAAAAATTATTATGAATATTTTTTTCTAATTAAAAATAGAAGTTTGAGTTGATTATGAACTATCTCGAGTATTCTTCACATAGGTACGACATATTTCAATGAATATATGTTCTATTTAAAATAAAAAATCATCACTGATTATATTTTATGAAGGTAAGATCGATTAGCTAATCTTGGATTGTCACAATGCCATGCAAAGAGAGATTGTGTATGAATTCCATGAACGAATCAATTGAACTAATTTTTGTTTTCTTTTGACTTGAATTTACTGCCTGACCAAATATGATACAATAGATATATATATACAGTTAAAAGAAAAATGGGAAGGAAGAAAAAAAAGTTTCTATAGACATGTGCGCTTGATGTATTTCTTTTCTTTCTGCATACGTTCGTAAATCACGTATTCATTTTACAACTATACTTTCGTAGAAATACAAACGTACAAAACAATTACTTATATTATTCATCATTTATAAAGTCCCTTTATAAACGACTAAACGATTATTTTCTTTAATTAATAAGTAAGTGATAATTTATTTGTTAGAAATGACTAGCAATCAATGTTTTTTTGCTGGTTGTTTTGATGAAATTGTTTGTTCGTCTAAGTTAACTTGGACGGCTCTGTCAGAAGTGAAAAATGAGAAAGTAAGAAAAAAATGCTTTCCTGGTGCTGAAACTGTTTTAGAAGTGATGCTTCTAAGAGCTGATTTGTTTTTCAGCACAAATTTAATACTGATACCGCTTTCGTTTGTGACGTTCATTGTAATTCATTTTTACAACACTTTTATTTTACGAAAGCACAAAGTAAATGTGATACTTGCTTGAATGTAAGAAAAACATTGTCATTTGCTAAGATGAACTTGAGAAACATTACTGTATCTCAAGCTATCACATTATTTGAAGTTTTCCAATTGAAAAACTCGTATGGAAAATTTATTTGTATAAAGTGTCGAATGGAAATTTCGGACAAAACGGAAGTAACAAGAGAAATACTTCATAACGATGCTTTTGAGTGTCTTTTCGATCCTGAGTCAGTATGTTGTAAAGAAGACTCTATGGAAGATAAAGATCTTGATTATCAACCACCTTATGATCCTGCGACTGGTAAAGAAAAATTAAAAGAACAAATAACAGCTTTGAACAATTTTCTTTCTGTCTGTGGCAGTAAAAGAAAAGTAAATGTGACAACTTCCTATAAGGATCTATCACATCGTGTCAAATTGCAATATGTAAGTTTAGTAAAACTCATAACGCGATCAGCTACATTGTTGATAGCATCGGATGATGCTGACATGCTGATGCATGACTCATTTAAGGACGTAAACAGTGAAAATTCGAATATTGTTTTAGACGGAAATTTTCGTCGAATAATGAGTGGTATTTCAGAAGCATATACCAGTGCTGAGTCGTGGCAATCGAGACGAGAGATTCTCTCAATCGTTGCACCGAAAATATCGTTAAATCTCATGCAACTGTTCATACCAGGTTTAACTGGTTACAGATTTTCTGCAGCGCGCTTGCACGCTGCAAAATATGGTGTCGGTTCAAAAGTAGAGATAATACAAAAGGTTGTACAACGGTTTGATGATAATCAAATCGCCCACTTTGTTGATTTTATTATTTCACCTCACGTGTGTACGGATTTACCCTTTGGTGAAAAAGTGTTGAAGTTATCATCTGGAATTGAATTGTTCATTCCAAATACTCTAAGAAATATGGGAGCAACTCGTATTATCGATCAGTATCTTCTTTATTGTAAAGAGATGTGTTCAGATTTTGAACCACTTGGTAAGAGTAGTTTGTTTACTATTCTCGATACTTGTAAAGCATCAACAAGAAAGTCTTTACAAGGTATCAATTACTTTGCAGCTGAAGCTGGAGAAGCATTTGATGGTTTACGAAAAATGATTGAAGATAAAGTCGCTCTTTGTAGTGATAGTGAACGACTTATTGAGAATTTGAAACGTGCTCGATTTTATTTGAAATCTGATTATAAAGTGCACGTAACGAGATCAAGCAATATTGCTGATCATTGTTGTGTTTATGCATTGAGCGATCCAGAAGGACGCAATTTTTCTCAGGATTGTGAGTATGAGCACGATGAATCGTGCATTGAGTGTTCGAATCTAACGAACACGCTGAATGAAATCGAACGATTCATCGAAGAAACAGAAACAGACGAAGAGTTATTCGATCGAGCTTTGAAAAAGTTTCGATCATATCGTGAATCTATTGAAGCATGGAAAGCGCATTTACTGCAATCCATCAATCAAGATTTGTGTCGAGAAAATTTACTCGATAAGCTATCTAATAATGAGATTTATCTCAATCTTGATTGGGCCATGAAATTTCTTCCTGTGAAAAGTCGGGAACCACAGTCGGAATTTTTCGGTAAACGAGGCATCAGTTGGCATATTAGTGTTGTAATGAAGAATGATGCAGGTGTTGAAAATGAGAACAACACATTCGATGAAGACAGCGATGTCTTTGATGATAGTCAGCAAATCAATTATCAGGAAATGACTGATTTGTCTGAAGAAAACAGTGATGATACTAATGTCATTGATAAGAAAGGGAAACACTCTTTCAAGTATAAAGTTTTTGTACATGTTTTTGATCAGTGTACACAGGATAGTGAGACAGTCGTCGCTATCTTGAGCGACGTTTTATGCTACGTCAAAGAAACTGATCCACAGATAAAAGATGCATTTATCCGATCAGATAATGCAGGTTGTTATCATTCGGCAAACACACTTGTGTCAGCCAAGCAAATATCGGAAAAGACTGGTATAGTAATCAAGCGGATTGATTTTTGTGATCCACAGGGTGGCAAGGGTCCTTGTGATCGTTATGCTGCCGTAATTAAGTCAAATGTTCGTAGATATCTGAATGAAAATCATAATGTGACAACTGCTTCTGAATTTGTCGAAGCATGTCATTCATACAAAGGGGTCAAAGGTGTTTTTGCACTTGACTGCCGAATTGAAAATAATGAATTAAAAAAAAGTAAGAAGTATACGATCAAGCAGATAACGAACTATTATAATTTCGAGTATCAAAGTCAAGGCCTTTCAGTACATCGCTCATGGAACATCGGTTCCGGCCTCTTGATACCGTGGTCACAGTTGAATCGTGATCAACCCATTTTCAATCTAATATCTAGTAAAACAGAAGGGTTTGTTCATGAGTGGGTAGAGACAAAAGAGAGACATCGTGATGAAGTTATGGATGTCGACGTCTATGATGCACAAGACGATGAATCATTACAAAACAGTAATAAGCAAAAGAATATATATGCATGCGATGTTGAGCAGGGTTGCACTGCAGAATTTGTCAAATTCGGAAACTATATCAATCATATACTCATTGGTAAACATCGATGTACAATTGAAAAGCTTTCATTGAAAGATACAGCTATGAAAATGTATCATTCGAAATTAGAAGAAGTAGAAAACCGACGATTAATATCGATTGATATGAACTTAACGGAAGTAATTGATGATGAAACAAGTTCTCTTCCGCAAGGTTGGGCTTTGCCCATACGCAAACCTAACACAAATTTTTCAGATAAACAGCGTGGATACCTCAAAAAAAAATTCGATGAAGGCGTTTCCGATGTGAAACATTGGAAACCGAAAGAGGTGGTATTAGATATGGAGACCTTGAAAGAAAACGGCAAGTTTTACTTTTCGGCTAGCGAAATTTTAAATGAAAATCAGGTTCGATCATTTTTTTGCCGACTAAAACGCGAAGGACAGATGATTGCCACACGAAATTCGTCAGCTGGTAGTGTAGTTGCCAAAGACAAACTTGTCAAAAATCCTACTCATGATAATAACGATGAAGAAATTGATGCAGAGATAGAAGCATTAAATCAAGACTTTCAAGATATTGAAATTGCTCTCCAAGAAATCGAAATACTAGAAAGTTGTAGTATGAATGCTAAGATGGCACTTGAATCGTCTCTTTTGATGAATTCCTCACCTTCAACTTCCACTACGCCATTAAAGAAAAACAAACAAAACATAAAATGGACACAGGTTTACCGAATTATGTCTAAATCATTATANAAACTGTAATAAACAAGAGCATATATATGAATGCGATGTTGAGCAGGGTTGCACTGCAGAATTTGTAAAATTTGGAAACTATATCAATCACATACTCATTGGTAAACATCGATGGGCAGTTGAAAAACTTTCATTGAAAGATACAGCTATAAAAACGTATCATTCGAAATTAGAAGAAGTTGAAAATCGACGATTAATATCTATCGATATTAAGTTAACGGAAGTAATCGATGATGAAACGAGTTCTCTTCCGCAAGGTTGGGCTTTGCCCATACGCAAACCGAACACAGATTTTTCAAATAAACAGCGTGGATACCTCCGAAAAAAATTTGGTGAAGGCATTTCCGGTGTGAAACATTGGAAACCGAAAGAGGTGGTGTTAGATATGGAGACCTTGAAAGAAAACGGCAAGTTTTACTTTTCGGCAAGCGAAATTTTAAATGAAAATCAGGTTCGATCATTTTTCTGCCGACTAAAACGCGAAGGACAGATGATTGCCACGCGAAATTCGTCAGCTGGTAACGTAGTCATCAAAGACAAACTTGTCAAAAATCCTAGTGATAATAATGACGATGAAGAAATTGATGCAGAGCTAGAAGCATTAGAGCAAGACTTTCAAGATATTGAGATTGCTCAGCAAGAGATCAAAATACTAGAAAGTTTTAGTATCAATGCTAAGATGGCACTTGAATCATCACTTTTGATGAATTCCTCAGCTGCAACTTCCTCTACGACATTAAAGAAAAACAAATAAAACGTAAAATGGACACGGGTATACCGATTAATGTCCGCATCAATGTAAATAAATGGGCACGAGTTTTCCGAATAATTCCCGTAGAGGTTCGTAAATTACGTATTTATTTTATAACTAACTATACTTTCGTAGAAATACAAACGTATAAAACAATTACTGATATTATTCATCATTTATAAGACCGCTTTATAAACAATTAAACAATTATTTTCTTTAATTGATAAGTAAGTGATAATTATTTATTTGTTTGAAATGACTAACGATCAATGTTTTTTTGCTGGCTGTTATGATGGAGTTGTTTGTTCGTCTAAGTTAACTTGGACGGCTCTATCGCAACTAAAAAATAAGAAAGTGATAAAAAAATGCTTTCCTGATGCTGATACTGTTTTGGAAGTGTTGCTTCTAAGAGCTGATTTGTTTTTTCAGCACAAATTCGATATTGATACCGTTTTCGTTTGCGACACTCATCGTAATTTACTTTTACAACACTTCTATTTTACAAAAGGAAAAAGTAAATGTGATACTTGTTTGAATGTAAGAAAAACACCGTCATATGCTAAGGTAGGCTTGAGAAACATCACTGTATCTCAAGCTATCACGCTATTCGAAGTTTTCCGATTGAAAAATTCGTACGGAAAATTTATTTGCCCAAGCTGTTGAATAGAAGTTTTGGAGAGAACGGAAGTAACACGAGAAAAACTTCATAGCGACGCTTTTGAATGTCTTTTCGATCATGACTCAGTATGTTTTAAGGAACATTCTATAGAAGATAAAGATCTTGATTATCAGTCGCCTTATGATCCTTCCATTGGAGAAGAAAAATTAAGAGAACAAATAGCAGCTCTGACCAATTTTCTTTCTGCTTGCGGTAGTAAAAGAAAAGTGAGTGTAACAACGTCTTATAAGAATTTAACACATCGTGTCAAGTTGAGATACATTGGTTTAGTTAAACTTATATTGAGATCAGCTACATCGTTAGTGGCATCAAATGATGCTGATGTCTTGATGCTGGACGCAATCAACGATATGAGTAATGAGGAATCAAATATTGTATTAGATGGAAACTTTCGTCAAGTAATGAGTGGTATTTCAGAAGCGTATACCAATGCTGAATCGTGGCAATTGAGACGAGAGATTCTCTCAATCATTGCATCGAAAATATCATTAAAGCTCATGCAATTGTTCATATCAGGTTTAACTGGTTACAGGTTTTCTGCAGCACGCTTGCACGCTGCCAAATATGGTGTTGGTTCGAGAGTTGAGCCAACATCAAAAGTTGTACAACGATTTGATGATTATCAAATCGCTCATTTTATTGATTTTATTGTTTCACCTCACGTGTGTACAGATTTACCTTTTGGTGAAAAAGTACTGAAGTTATCGTCTGGAGTTGAATTGTTCATTCCAAATACGATAAGAAATATGGGAGCAACTCGTATTATCGACCAATATTTTCGTTATTGTAAAGAGATGTGTTCAGACTTCGAACCACTTAGTAAAAGTAGTTTATTTACTATTCTCGATACTTGTAAAGCGTCAACAAGAAAGTCGTTACAAGGTATCAATTACTTTGCAGCTGAAGCTGGAGAAGCGTTTGACGGTTTAAGAAAAATGATTGAAGATAAAGTCGCTCTATGTATTGATAGTGAACGACTTATTGAGAATTTGAAACGTGCTTGATTTTATTTGAAATCGGATTATAAAGTGCACGTAACGAGATCAAGCAATATTGCTGATCATTGTTGTGTTCATGCATTGGGTGATCCAGAAGGACGCAACTTTGCTCAAGATTGTGAGCATGAGCACGATGAATCGTGCATTGAGTGTTCGAATCTAACGAACACGCTAAATGAACTCGAACGATTCATCAAGGAAACAGAAAAAGACGAAGAATTATTCGATCATGCTTTGAAAAAATTCCGATCATATCGTGAATCTATTGAAGCATGGAAAGCGCATTTACTGCGATCCATCAGTCAAGATTTGTGTCGACAAAATTTACTTGATAATCTGTCGAATGATGAGATCTATCTCAATCTTGATTGGGCCATGAAGTTTCTTCCTGTCAAAAGTCGGGAACTACAGCCTGAATTTTTCGGTAAGCGAGGCATCAGTTGGCATATTACTGTTGTAATGAAAAACTATGCAAGCATTGAAGATGAGAATAACACTTTCGATCAAGACACCGATGTCTTATATGATAGTCAACAAATTAATGAGTACGAAATGATTGATTTGTCTGAAAAGAACAATGATGTCATAGATAAGAAAGAGAAACATTCTTTCAAGTATAAAGTTTTTGTACATGTTTTTGATCAGTGTACACAGGATAGTGAAACAGTCGTCGCTATCTTGAATGACGTTTTGTTCGATGTCAAAGAAACTGATCCACAGACAAAAAAATGCATTTATCCGATCAGATAATGCTGGTTGCTATCATTCGGCAAATACGCTTGTAGCAGCCAAACAAATATCAGAAAAAACAGGTATAGCTGTCAAGCGAATTGATTTTTGTGATCCACAGGATGGCAAGGGTCCTTGCGATCGTTATGCTGCCGTAATTAAGTCAAATGTTTGTAGATACCTGAATGAAAATCATAATGTGACAACTTCTTCTGAATTTGTCGAAGCATGTCACTCATATAAAGGGGTCAAAGGTGTTTTTGCACTGGACTACCGAATTGAAAATTATGAATGAAAAAAAAGTAAGAAGTGTGCGATCAAGCAGATAACAAACTATTATAATTTCGAGTATCAAATACAAGGTCTTTTAGTACATCGTTCATGGAACATTGGTTCCGGTCTTTTGATACCGTGGTCACAGTTGAATCGTGATCAACCCATTTTTAATATAATATCTAATAAAACAGAAGGGTTTGTTCATGAGTGGGTAGAGACAAAAGAGAGACACCTTGATGAAATTATGGATGTCGACGACTGTGATGCACAAAAGGATGAATCATTACGAAACTGTAATAAACAAGAGCATATATATGAATGCGATGTTGAGCAGGGTTGCACTGCAGAATTTGTAAAATTTGGAAACTATATCAATCACATACTCATTGGTAAACATCGATGTGCAGTTGAAAAACTTTCATTGAAAGATACAGCTATAAAAACGTATCATTCGAAATTAGAAGAAGTTGAAAATCGAGGATTAATATCTATCGATATTAAGTTAACGGAAGTAATCGATGATGAAACGAGTTCTCTTCCGCAAGGTTGGGCTTTGCCCATACGCAAACCGAACAC